GCAATAAGCTGAAGTCAAAAGAAAAATACAGAATAATAATAATAAACTGGTGAGAAAGCACTGTTGCAAAAAAGACAGTACAAAGAGTGAGCCGCTGTGAGGCTTCAGGAGCGAGTGAAAAGTAACAGGAAACTCACTAACCCATTGCACACACACACACACACTGGTACCTTTAAGCCAATAAAATGTTGGAAGGCAGACTGAAATGGAATGTTTCCCTTGTAAAGCATTCATCGTCGCCCCTTTAAACCCCCTCCCCCCCCATATCAGGAAGGCGGTGAGGCCTGGCAGCCAGTGGGAGTCGGTTGTGGTTTGGAGGGGGAGGGGCGGTGAGGAGCTGTCAATCACAGGGAAGAGGAGTGACTGGCGTCAGTAACTGCAGAGTGGCCCCTCCTCTCCAATTACTCACACACACACACACACACACTGGGCTGGGCACACAGCAACTAACCAAAAAACAACAGCCCCACATCCACATCCAAGATCAGCAGCTTTTTTTTGCATCGAGATCAGACATTGCACCTACACACACTCACAGTCACACACACTCACACCTACACACACCAAAATCCCAGCAGTTTTCATGTGATCCAGGGAACAGTAATCTGATGGATGGCGTTTACAAGCAACAGCAGCAGCTTTCTGAGCAAAGTCAGCTCCAAGTGAACGTGTGAAAGAACCATTTATTTTTACCTAATTCTATTTTTTTTAATTCTTTTTTTCCCCCAAAAAAAGAAAGAAAGAGCGAAAGAGAGACCGAAACTGCGTTCAGATATCTGGCAACAAACAAAACAACAAAACAATTATCTATTTGTGTTTGCGAAAAAGAGTGTGTGTGTGTGTTAGTGAGACACACACACACACACACAGACAGACAGACAGACAGACACAGAGGAGAGAAGTGGAGGCGCCGCTCGCTGCCTGATGCATGGGTTGGGACTTCGACTTATGGAAGTTGTGGGATCGAAGCCTCAGCAACAAGACACGTGTGGGTGGCGGCAGCCAGCGATGCTTTTCCACGGCATTTCGGGGAGTGAGATACAGGGAGTTATGGAGGAGATGGAGAGACGCTCCAAGAGCGAAGGAGCCGTCAGCTCTGGAATAGATATGGGGAGAGAGAGACGGTAGGCACCAACCGCTTGTACACTCACTATCTATCTATATATATATATACTACATATATATATATATACAGGACTATACTGACTGCACCCGGAGTGGGCAGGCTGTTATAATTCGGGTTTCACAGCTACCGTTTCTGTAACCGTGTTTCCAAGTAAGTTTCTGTGATTTCGTTCAAAATTCGTTAAGTTTTGGTTAAGAGACAATGCAAAAAAAAACCTTTATATACCGCACTTGGTCTGTCTAAGGCCAATTTTGTGTTGTGTTGGGTTTATGCGGAGTAACGGTCAGGATTTTTAATTACAAATATATATTGTATATATAAACGAATTGGTTGTAAAAATTAAACTAGTTGGTTAATGGTCGGGATCAACTCTCTTTAGACAATCCCACCACCTCTCCCTCCTCCCTTACTCGTCATAAACCTTCACCATAATGTAATGTGTCCAGATTCAGGGAGTTCCTTTTGGATTATAGAATATATTCAATTCAATTTCCCGGTGTGTGAGTGGGTGTGTTTTTATTTTATTATTTTTAATTTCACCCTGAGAAAAAAAGTGACAAAAACAAAATATAAAAAAACACAGTTTCATATCCAACAACCGTGTGCTCCTGTTAAATTTATTACACGATGAAGGAATTTCTCTTATTTTTTATTAATAAAACCAGAAAATGCTAGCGGTTGATTTTTTTTGTTATTTATACATATATAAAAATAACTGATCGCTTTTCGCTTCTTTCCCACTGGCGTCAAAATATAAACACTGAGCTCAAAAATACACATCAGAAAATAAAAATAAAAACATGAATTCATGTGAACCTATTTTCTTTACATCCAATTTCTTTCTCATAAAATAAAAACGCTGTTGTTTTTTTTAAAAAGAACATTAATTACACTTGATGACATTAATAATCGAGCTTGCCGGTTTCAGTGAGGGCCATAAATATATATAAATATATATCTTCACAACTGTATATATATATTAAAATATACATAACTTTAACAATTGGTACAATATATCTACATGTATACAGAACATATATATTATACGTGAAGATGTGTAGCTTTAAGATATTTCGTACAATTTGTTAGGAGACAAATGCATTTGGCTTGGGGTTATTAAATTGATATTAAAGAGGATTAATGTTTAATTCAAGTACTTTATAAATTACTGAATACATTTCCTCCTCTCTATAAACGGTCTGATTGGAATAGGTTGTTTCGGAATCAGGTCTGGATCCCGCCAGGTAAAGAAAGGCCTGTCTGTGTGTCTGTTGTCTGGGAAATAATGTGACACAAACCGAGTGACTTTAAACTGACAATTATTTGCAATGAGAAAATGATTTAATAGTTCAGCAGAGGGCGGGGATATACAGTAAACGAGAGGCTATTTAAATGTGAAATTCTTAACGCTAATATTGCACACTTAAAACCTGAGCACAGATAATCCTAAAGAGAGCGGTGATGTGTAATATATATATAGTATAGTGTAACATATTTATATTTACTTGGAAGATATTTACACTCTGGAACTCCATCCTGGAGTCCCTCCGATTCGTTCACTCGCTCCTTCCGACTCTCACCTCGTTCAAAGTCCGCCTATATACATATATACATATACACATATACATATACGTGTGTATATATAGTGTGTGGATATATATATAAAATAACAAGAATAAATGTAACAAGCGGGTGTTTGTCCGACAAGTACAGGAAGAAAAAACACAAACATTCTCCTTGTGTCAGTGTAGGTGAGAATGTGAACATGAGCAGCACTGACTGCGCACCGCGCGAATACCAGAGTGTGTTTTTATTGTTAATATTAGTTGTTGGTGGGGAGAGAGTCAGAGCAAGTCACGGTGTGCTGAGATCTATCACAGCGCCCGCCCGCCCGCCTCGGGTTTCGTCGGCAAATTCATCCCCAAAAAACAACCTCTAGCTTTTGATCGGGGGAAACAGTGCGCTCAAAACTTTTTTTTCGTTACAAAAAGATTTTTTTTAGCAAATTGGGGTTTAAATGTAAAGGGTTCGCGGTGAGTTTCCCTCCCACCTGTGAATTTGGGGGAGTTGGGTTGGGTTGGGTTTGGGTTGAGTTGTGTGGAGTTGGGGTGTGTTGGATTGAGGTTGGGTTTGGCTCGAGCCCTGATGTGTAGTGACTGACGCTGATGTGTCCTGATGCCTTTTTTGATAATTGTTTCTTTGCAGAACATGCCGGCCATCAGCAGCGAGAGAGCCACGCTGTGTGCGGGCTGTGGGGGGAAGATCTCAGACCGCTATTACCTACTGGCGGTGGACAAACAGTGGCACATGCGCTGCCTCAAGTGCTGTGAGTGCAAACTGGCTCTGGAGTCCGAGCTGACCTGCTTCGCCAAGGATGGCAGCATCTACTGTAAAGAAGACTATTACAGGTACTCCCACTGAGGTTTATACACAGAGCCGAGCACTCTCTCTCACACACACACACTGTACAGAGGACTATTGCAGGTACGCACACCCGACTGAGATTTATGCAGGGCTGGGGACTGTCATACACACACATACACTGAGGTACACACACAGCCGGGCACTATTACAGGTACACACACTCGGGTTTATACAGAGTCGAGCACTACAGTATTACAGGTACACACACTCGGGTTTATACAGAGTCGAGCACTACAGTATTACAGGTACACACACACGTACAGAGCCAGAAAAGTAATAGCCACCGCTTTATACACCCAGACCAGACTCCGGGTAATGTGCAAGGAAGCGACACGCCAGTTAATACAAGCGGCTTTAAATCACCATTAAATGAAATCGTTTTAACAGTGCCCGAGTGATAACCCGGAGTGGCATTAAACCGTCACCGCCGTCTTGACCTGCACTCAGTGGTTATGCGCATAAAAGCTTTAAATGAGTTTATTTTATGTGATAATCCATTCTTTCCCTCTGCAATCTCCACACACTGTGATGGTGCGGCCTGGCATAATATGTGGGGAGGCTTTTACTTAAATACTTTATGTAACGAAGGGGTCAGGTTTAAGATACATTTACTGCACCAACCCGTCTGTAGCCGTCCTGCCGAGAAGCGACAGAGTATAACAGAGAGAGTATAGCGTTTAATATTAGTGTTTAGCTTCCAGATTGGGCAAAACTGAGCGTTTACACAGGAAAACAGTGCTGCACAGTCACTGGAGATAATTTCAACAAATTACCCAATGTATAGGACATATCTAAATATATAATATAAATGTAATATGTATATAAAGAGAGGATAATCTAATATCTATGAAGAGAGAGGATAATCCAATCGCTATACATAAATACTATATATATTAGAAAATACGATGCAGCCAGACATTTTCAGTAAGTTTCAATAAATTATAACATTATGATTGGATTACAACTAAAATGTTCCCAGTGTGCCCGCTTCCCTCTGTGGGTGAGTGGGTAAGTTGGAGCCGAATTAACACAGGGAGCTGAGAGGGACACAGAGAGAGAGAGAGAGAGAGAGAGACCTGGAGTACGTTTCCTCATCACATTCAGTGCAATTACACTATTTGCCGCGGCTTTAATAGCAATTCTGAGTTTCCAGCGGCCACTTGTACCCGATCCGCCGACAGTTTGATGAATTTAAATACGCTTGAGACGTCCATTTAACTATTGTTGGAGGGAGTGCAGAGTGTTGGCTGTTATCTTGTGTTGGAGTTTCAGTATGTTGTGGTTTTGTGCACCGAATGGATTGAGAGTTCAGTCTCTTCACCCCCCCCCCCCCCAGCTCCCTCTCCTCTTCAAACCTCACGAATGATTCACAATGTAGATGCTATTGGTATGTCTATTGGCGAGAGCTTACAAAGCAAAAGGGACAGCACAGGGGGCAGAGACAAGGGAGGCCAACAGAATGGAGAGGCCGTGCAAACCTGGTTGGGATAATGAGAGTTTAGGGAATAGTGTTTTTATAATGAAAATCTCTCCCCCCCCAACCCCATGTACTGATTGCCCAATGTAGCAAGGACAGTGCCAGTGAGTTGGTAAAGTTGAGGAAGTAGAGAGTGGGAGAGCAGAATATGAACATGGATGATGTTAATGATGAACACACATTCATCAGGAATTAAATAACTCCTTACAGCACAGGGGAAGCTCTGAGTAAACCTGTGTGAGGGGTTTGGCACTATCTCTCTCATTGGGATTATCTGTAATAAAATGTAATGTAATATACTATAATACAATACAGTATAATATATCATAAAACAACATAATATGAATTACAAGCGAGATTGCTGCGGTAACAAACAGAGCGGGAAGAGAGACCGGATTGTGTCCACATAATTGTCCATTTAAACAGTTAAATATTTTAATGATACACTTCACCGCCGAGTCAGATCTTTTATGCAATGATCTTTCCCATCAAAGCTTTTCGCCCACCTCATTTTGAACCAATTCAGTAAATGACAGCGGCCGCGTTTCTATATCCGACTCAATTCCGCGGCTATTTGTTTATTTACCTTTTTTTCAATGGGCGGAGAAAATTAGCGGGAAATGATCAGAAAATTGGCGTTTAACTTGTTATAGGATAACCCCCCGTGCGGTACTGTCCAATTGGGACAATATTGCGGGGAAAGAAAGGCATTAAATAGGCAATATCTGTTTAAATAGACAATTACAGTCACGGACATCAATGTAAATTATAATAAAGCTCCTTTTAATGTCGCGTTTTTTCTTCTGAATAAAGAAAAATAAACGGAGTAAAACGGAGTTGCAGAGAGCTGAGGGGAGATCTGTTTGATGTACATTTAATTTGCAATAGTTAATTGGCGAAGTTTCTAAATTTGCTTCGGGAGTATAGGAGGAAAGAGTTAACAACTAATGTAAGGGTTTGTACCATTGGGGGGAGCGCCTTGGGACGTCCTCCCGACGTGAACGGCGCTTTACAAATGTAACTTTGTGTTTCTGTAAGTGTGTGTGTGTTTGAGTGTGTGTGAGTTAGTGTGTGTTTGAGTGAGTGTGTGAGTGAGTGTGTGTGTGAGTGAGTGAGTGAGTGTGTGAGTGAGTGAGTGTGTGTGTGTGTGAGTGAGTGAGTGAGTGTGTGTGTGAGTGAGTGTGGATGGGGGTGTAATGCCAGTTGGTAAATACACCCGATTGATCCATCTCCTCAACGTACCCCTCCCCTCAAAAATAGTAATGATCTGAAATAATAGTTGTTGTCAAACACACGATTCGCTCACATGGAATCGCATGACAGTAAAATGCGCGTGAACAAACCAGAGCATTAGGGAAGCCTTCCAGTTTGTCTCCACCTTATCACAACACTGAGCTGCTGGGGAGGGGGTAACATATCGCAGGTGAAACGAAAAAGGTTCGCTCATTTTCTTAGAGAGTAATTTGGGGCTGAGAGGGGTGTGAGTGTGTGGAGGATCAGGTCTGTGTTAGTGCTGGTGACGCCCATTCAGAGAAACCAAATAATGATGAAAGATTCACAGCCCAGACAGAGCGAGGCCATTCGGCCCATCAGGCTGGCCATGGTGGTGACTTAGTGTACCCATGCTGGCCTGGGGGGTGGAGTGGCCAGTGGGGTGGCCTGGCCTGGGGGTGGGATAGTGTCCAGCGCCTTGGGACGTCCTCCCGACGTGAAAGGCGCTCTATAAATGGAATCTTGTTGTTGTTGTTGTTAAGTGCTCTGGGACTCAACCCTGCGTGAGGGGCAGTTTATAAATGCAAGTGGAGTTCTATAACTCACCCAACAAGTGAGAGAACTTGGGTTCAATTCCTGGGCCGGGCAAAACTGTAGGCAAATTTCCTTATTCCACATGCCTCTGTTTATCTAGCAGTATGTAGGAACCAGGTTCTTAGTCAATTGCTTTTCTGGGGGGTAATAATCCCTTCAAAAAATAAATATAAATAATAATAATAAATTGGTCACTCAATCCACGACTGTTTGTGTGCAATTGGCTGCTGTGTTTTTCTTACAAAACACAGTCATTACACTTTACAGTATATTCTGTGAAACTCTTTGAGATGCTTCCGAGCCGGTGTGAAGGGTGCTATATAAATGTAAGTTGTTGTTGTTATCTCAAAAACATGATAAGGTGCTGCATCAAATGCAACAAACATAGGAACAGGAGTAGACCATTCAGCCCCTCAAGCCTGTTCTGCCATTCTATAAAGTCACTGCAATTACCCGCCCTTGCTTCATATCCCTTGATATCCTTGCCTAACAAATATTATTGTTATTATTAGTATAAGTTGTTGTTGTTGTTTGGTGTCTTTACAATAGTAAAACCTCTCTCTCCCCCTGCAGGAGGTTTGCTGTGCAGAGATGTGCCAGATGCCACCTAGGGATCTCGGCTTCGGAGATGGTGATGAGAGCCAGGGACTCAGTCTATCACTTGAACTGTTTCACGTGTCACAGCTGTAACAAGGCGCTGAGCACCGGCGACCACTTTGGAATGAAAGACAGCCTGGTGTACTGCCGTCTGCACTTCCAGGCCCTCATTCAGGGCGACTTCCAGCCACGCTTCTCCCACACGGACGCGGGCTCCAAGGGCGTGGGGCTGGGGCCAGGGCTGCCCTACTATAACGGAGGGGGCACTGTGCAGAAAGGCCGTCCCCGCAAGAGGAAGAGCCCGGGGCCCGGGGCAGACCTGGCAGCTTATAACGCGGGTGAGTAAGTCATCTCCTCCTGAACCGTGCAATCTAGAACACTTTCCCTCCCCCAAAAGGTCGTGGATCCATTCACATTGTCCAGACTGAGGTGGATAGATGTTTTTTACGTCAGGAGATCAAGGGATATGGGGCAAAGGCGGGTAATGGGGTTGAGATACAGATCAGCCATGGTCTTATCGAATTGTGGAACAGGCTCGAGGGACTGAATAGTCTACTCCTGCTCCTATGATTCCATTCCAGCCTGGGACCCAGACACCACCCACGCCCCCTGTGTTATAAAGATAAGCCACCGGCTAGTCACTGAGACAGTATAATGTGTCTGCTTCACACACAGCCTCTGGCTCTGGCTCTCAGCTGCTAAAACAAGTGCAATGTGGTTCCCTGTCCTCCACACACCCCTCAGATAACTGTTGCGCAGAAGCCAGGGAGGAGCTTTAAGTTGCTGCTATGTTGGATATATTGGGCCCCACTGAGAGAGAAAGGGGAGAAAGAGAGAGGAAAGACAAAAAGAGGGAGAGAGAGCTGTGGAGGAGGGGGGGGGAGATAATGGGGTGGGGGAGAGAGAGGAAAGAGAGAACGAGAGAGCGGGGGGAGAGAAAGAGAAAGTGGGAATACAGAGAGAAAATAGATGGAAAGATGGGGAAAGAGAGAATGGGGAAAGTGAGAGGAGGAAATCGAGGGAAAGGGAGAGAGATGGGGGGACAGAAAGAGAGGAAAGATAAGAGGGAGGGGTTGAAAGAGAGGGGGATGGTTGAGAAGCAGGTCAGAAGCGCCTGTGTTGGCAGTAACAATGAGTTGAGGTAATGGGAAGTGAAGGGTGTGTAAATGGACAATGTTGTCTATTTGTGATAATTACAACATTCACCGATCAGACCTGAACAAGAGGGTCAGTGTCTGTGTACCATCTTACACTCTCCCGGTCTCTTCTCATAGTCAGCAAACTGTGGGGGCTGGGGGTGGGGGTGCTGTTACCTCCTCTGTGTGTTTAGTGCGGATTCTCACATAACCCTCCCTATTGCCCCCCCCCCCGCCCCAAACAAATAATTTTCAGTGGTTTACAACAACTCGGACTGAAGATTGAGTCTCAGTTACAATTTTGATCTGTTTCACTTCCTAATAGTCTAGAAAGTTACATATAATCCATGACTCAAACCAGCCAGTCTTTGCACTAAATTTATTTTAAACTTTGTGTGTGTATGCGGCGGGTGGGGTGGGGAGTGTGTGAGGGTATTCTGTGTGTGAGGGGGAGGAGTGTGTGTGTGTGGAGGGGAGTGTGTGTGGGGGTGGGATTTGCTGTATTTATTTATTTGTTGTCAGAAGACAATCCTGATCAGAAATGGCAAATGATAAAATCCCTTCTTTTAATCTCAATCATTGGATTATTAAGAGTTACCATAACCCCATGGAAAGTTTATTATTATTAAGTTGTTCCCCTCCGAACAATGTGGTACTTTTATTGTCAGACTTTTGATTATTATATTCATAATAGTTTTTTTGTTAAAAACTAAAATGAAGCTTATTGAAGCTGAGCAGATGGCGAGATATTAAGAATAAGGAAACCAGGTATTAACACACATATTTATTATAATCCTTTTAAACAACTGCTAAAAGACAAGGAGCTGCCCACAACCTGAGCTTTAGTAACAGCACATTCCCATCAGTTTCATTTGATTGATTTGGTAAGGTATAATACTAATAATAATCACTGCATTTGATACAGCGCCTTATCATGTCGTTGAGACGTCTCAAAGCGTTTCACAGGACATACTGTAAAGTGGTGACTGTATATTTTGTGGGCAGATACAATGTAAACAGTGTTGATATTGTATCTCTGCGCCCCCCCCCCCCAGCCCAACACACCACCCTCTCAGTCACCCACCCACCAACTCCAGCAGCTGGGTCTGGGCCTCTGTGTTGGGGTTAGGGCTGGGCTGGAGGGGCTGTGTTGGGTGAGGCTGGGGGTGGGAGGGTTGGGGTTAGGACAGGTGTGAGATCAGGATGGACAAGTGGGAAAGCACCGTGATGGACGCTGGAAGTTAAATGGATGTGGTTTTAGCTGGTTAGATTCCAGCAGTTACCCCAAAACACACTCTGGGGTGCCCAAGCCTTGCCGCTTGCCAACCTGTACCTAATACTCTCCCGAATTAGGTAATCGAGGTGTGTCCCTCCAGGGAGTATGCATTTCGTTCCAACAATCTATCTCTGGGATTTCCATGTGTAGGTGGGATGATGGAATTCTCAGCTTGGTTTGGATACGCTTAAGCACGGGGATGGGTCAGACACCCGGCTGAACTTAGCTGACGCTTCTTCTCCGATCCTAACCTCATTTAGGATCATTTATGCAAGGATTATTATTATTTAATCTAAAAAATTTTTTAAAAATTGTTCACTCAATCCACGACTGTTTGTGGGACTCTGCTATGTGCGATTGGCTGCTGTGTTTTGCCTACAAAATAAACAGTCACTTCACTTTACAGTATATCCTGTGAAGTGCTTTGAGACACCTCGAAGATGTGATAAGGCGCTGTATCAAATGGAAGGATTATTATTATTATTTACACTGTCACAAAGATTGTGTTGCCCGATGTCTTGTAGATCAAGTTCAGATCTCAGCACCTGTACACACCCCATGCACTTCCTCCCCCCACACACACACCACCTACACACATACGGTTCCCTCCCAAAACACATACTCCCACTCCCCCTGCGCCACACACACACTCTCCCCTACACACACATCCCCCCCACACATACACATCCCCCCCACCACACACACACACATCCCCCCCACCACACACACACATCCCCCCACCACACACACACATCCCCCCCACCACGCACACACATCCCCCCACCACCCACACACATCCCCCCCACACACACACACATCCCCCCCACCACACACACACATCCCCCCCAACACACACACACACATCCCCCCCACACACACACACACACATCCCCCCCACCACACACACACATCCCCCCACCACACACACATCCCCCCCACCACGCACACACATCCCCCCCACCACGCACACACATCCCCCCCACCACACACATACATCCCCCCCACACATACACATCCTCCCCACCACACACACACACACACCCCACCACATACACACATCCCCCCACCACACACACACATGCCCCCCACCACACACACATACACCCCCCACCACACACACACCCTCCCCACCACACACACACACCCCCACCACACACACATCACCCCCACCACACACACATCCCCCCACCACACACACCCATCCCCGCCACCACACACACACCAAGAAAGAGTTTAGAGTTCAGGAGAGGAGGCCCTGTCACACGCACACTCGCTCTCACATTCACTCTAACACGCACACTCGCTCTCACACTCACATTCGCTCTCACAATTCAGGCACTTGTTAAACCAGCCTGATTGTCCTTTCTCTGTGCATCTGCCAAAGGCAGTGACATCGTTTAACTCATTACCTCCTTCACATCTCCTCAGTGACTCCGATTAAAGCCCAGCACCTGACAACCTCACCTCCCAGCGCTTACACCGTGTCCAACAATGTCAGGGAGTTAATAGGTGATACAGCCCCCAGCCCGGGGTGGGGGGGATGTTGAGCTAACACAGAAATACAAAGTGTTAATCACATGAACAGGAGGGGGATGTTATCCATCTTTCTTTTTGACAGGTTTCCATTAGTTACAATTAATCTGATACCTGCTCGCCAGGGTGCGTGTGTGTGTGGGCTGCGGGTGCGGAAGGGGGAGTGTGTGTATGTGTGGGAGGGAGAGTGTGTCTATGTCTGTATGTTGGAGGGATGGCTGTGTGTGTCGGGGGGAGTGTAGATATGGGGTCAACTTCCCCATGCAGATAACCTAACTCTACCTCCCCGCCTCAACCTGTCGGACATCAAGTCCTGGATGAGAGCTAACTTTCTCCACTTGAATGTCAACAAGACCGAGGCTCTCCTGCTTGGCTCCCGTCAGCTCCTCCTCACCTTGGGCGCTGACAGCATCACCCTTCACTCTAGATCTCACAAAGCCTATAAGTAACCTTGGCATCCTATTTGACCCTCAACTGTCCTTCGTCCCCCACATCATGCCAAGACCCACTCCACCTTTCCCCACCTCCGCAACAGCGCCCGGCTCGCCATTGTCTTCCATCGCAGGCCACCGAGACCCTCAAACACACATTCATTACATCCAGGCTCGACAACTCAAACTCACTGCTTGTCAGCCTCCCCAACTCCTCCCTCCACAGGCTACAGATCATCCAGAAAGAACTCTGGAGCCAGTGTCCTCTCACACACCCCGTGACCCCATCAACCCCATCCTCACCCAGCTCCACTGGCTTCTCATCATTCAGATGATACTCACCTCACCTTCAAAGCTCTCCACAGCCTCACTCCTCATTACCTCTGTAACCTCCTACCAACCTGTCCACTTCCCTCCGCTCAGTGGGCTATGGCCTGCTTCACTTTTGGGTAAACAGAGGCATATGGAGTGAGGAAACTTGCCCCACGTGGCCTTTCTGTGGCCTGCTTTAAGTCCCCCACCTTACCCTCCCCCACCATTGGCAGGCGGGCCTTCAGCCTCTCTGCTCCCACCCTCTGGAACTCCATCCCACAGTGAGGCGGAGGCCTCACCCCCTCTGTTGCCTCTTTCAAGACCCGTCTTAAGACCTTCCTCCTTGACCGTGCCTTTGGTCACCCTCCTACCCTCCCCGCCCCCCACCCTCCTGATCCCAACCACCAGCTCAGGGTCAGATCCCTGACTGTTGACTGTCCAGCGCCTTGGGACGTCCTCCTGACTTAAAAGGCGCTATACAATCGTAATCTGTCGTTGTTGTTATTGTGTATAGTGCGAGTGGGAGTGTGGGGGGGGGGGAGTGTGCGTGGGGGGGAGTGCGCGTGGGGAAGGGAGTGCGCGTGGGGGGGGGAGTGCGCGTGGGGGGGGAGTGCGCCTGGTGGGGGGAGTGCGCCTGGTGGGGGGGAGTG